GCATGCCTGAACACCTGAATTTCTGTGTATTGGCTGCAGAATTTTCGTGCTTATCCTGCTGGGGAAAAAAATGATGAACTGTAAGGTATCAAAATTACCGTGGCAGCTATTGCATGTAAGTGCCGTCGTCTTTTCAGCGTGGTTCATGCTGTGAGGTTTTTGTAACAGTGAGTGCAAGACTGCGGAAATCCACTTGATCTAGGAATTATTTTTTTCTTCAGTATGTTAGTTAGCATGTGATGAGCCTGGTAAAAAGTAAGAACAGTAGTTACGCTCCTGCTCCAGCTGTGTTTCGGTTGGGCTGTGAAATGCAGTGGCTTGTTGCTCAGCTGTTGCGGCAACGTTTTAAGGCGTGAGCTTCCACGCAAGAAAGGAAAGGTAAGATGACTTTGTAACGCAAAAAGAGAACACAGAATAAATTGCTCTTCAGGCTTGCTCCGAGAGCAATAGCTGCATCTGAGAGTGTGGTGCAAACATCGTGTGTCAGTCATTGGCATTTTACTCAGGCTTTGGATGTCATTAGCGCTGGTATACTATTATTTATCTCTTCCGAGAGACAATCGAAATGAGCTATAGCCATGGATGTTATTTTTGTACCCACGCTTCGCCTGTTTTAGATTACGATAATGTCTCGGGGGCGGGGGGGGTGTGCTTAATTGCTGTTCTGGGCAAATGGCTGACCGTAGGACTTGCTGGTTAGCCCCTGGACTTCAGTTGAAAATAGAAACAAAGAAACTCGAGATGCACATGTAACCCTTCCTCCTTCCTTCTCCTGTCCCTCCCAGTCCACTCCAGTGCTTTGATTCATTGCCAGGAACAGTCGTTCTGCCAAATCAAAAGCCCCCTAAGTCTCTCAGGAAAATTCCATCCATAAATGCTGCGCCCCATGCAAAATCTTTCACGTAACAAAAGTGAGACGGTGTATTTTTTAGACACAAGCTACGAGAAAATTTCTGTGCTATAGTAACAGCCTTCTGGGTCCCAAAATGTATGATGTTTGCTCTTGGTATTTGGCTCCTATTTCATATCAAGAAATACTTCATACAGTGTGACTTACCACCCATCCACTATTCCGTAGCTCTTCGGTGACGCCAAATCGAGCTGCAGACGTGTATGACAGGTAGAATTGTGTTAGAACTACCTTTGTTTCAAAACAGAAAACGCTTGTAGAAGCCACTGCTTCCTGTTCCCAGTCACATCATATATATCACTGTATATATATTTATTTTAAGCTAGACTGTGTTTTCCCTTTTTTATATAAATATGTGTCTTAAAACAGCCAGCCGACTCGTCAAACGAGGAAATGCCATTGTTTAATACCATTACATGATCTTTTTGGATCTTTCAGAACCGAGAACCCCATGAACATTCTATTAGTTGAAGACTTACGATCTGTGAATACTGACTCTTGGAATAGCCAACATTAAGATCCCCTTTGCAGAGGTTTCATAGGTTCTTACATCCCACCACGTTAAAGGTACTAAAAGATTGTATCTTTGATTGAAAAAGTAAATTTACTGATGTGCAAGTACAAACTTGGTAATATTTCTCATGGGAAAATGACATTCAGTACCCAGTTCTAGGACTGAACTTTTAAGAAACTGACAGTGTAACCAGGCGTACGAAATGTGTGTGCAATTGCATGCTTATTTTGCATTCCTTGGCATAAACTTGTGCCGTTATTTGTAAGCCTAATTGGGCATTTGTGTTGTGCAGTTGCTTGATTTGCTTTCAGTTCGTGTATTCAGATACTCAAATAATTACGCAGCTATTTTGTATGCTTCCTGTGAAAATCCAGCTCTGTTTGAAGAATGATGTAATCTTTAAAAGTAGCATGGACAGGTCTGAGGATACCAAAACAATACCAGTGACACTTAAGTTTTGTCGGTTTCTTTTGAATCAAATGCATGTGATACTTCAGGCAGAATTGTGTGAAACACAATGGACATCCTCTACAGATAAAGCTGTGGTATCATCTAACGTTTGTTCAGGGTTAAGGGTTTGAAAGTGCAGTTAGTTCTTGCGTGCCTAGAACAATGCCTCCAGAGTTTTACTTTACAATGACTACAGATTATTATGGGTACGTTACAGCAGGGGAGGCAGTAATAACCTGTGGCTCTGAAAACAGCTGGAGCAAATTCCTGACCAGTTAGCGTTCCCTAGACTGACTTCTGTGCTAAGCTTCACAATATATAGGTACCCAGGCAAAACATTCAGGTAGTGTTTGCTAAAGCACAAAAGCAAGTGTCCTGTCACAGCCAGTTTCAGAGGTAAGGAGAACTACCTCCCGCTGTTGCTAAACCATGGCCAGGTTTATTCTGGCGGGTGAATTCTGCTGCTGCCTGTGTCCTAAACGGAGGTTACCGGAGCCTTATCTACATTTAGAGTGAGCCACCTGCACTTTGCGATTCCTCTTCCTGTTGAATCTCTTCACGTAGCTGCTGCTGCTTCTAAGCAAGCCGTCCCCTGGCCTCAGGCGCCCTCGCAGGAACTGCAGCAGGTTTGCAGGGATCTGTCGTCTCTTGTGGTAGATCCGACCCATCACAATGTATCTACTGCCTGCAAAATAAACGAGACTCCTGTGCTACGGAGAAAGCACGGATTTGTTCACTGCACTCACCCTAAGGCCAACAGGTTGACGAACAGATGTGAAGTCGTACCCTGCAGAAATATATCCCGAACGTGTGGCTTAGTACAGCGGCACCCTGAACTTCAGTGGGCCTTGTGGGTTGTGCTTGCGCAGAAGTAATGAGTTACTGTCTTGTATTGCAATTAGAAGCTTTTGGGGGGAAATACTGATATTTGATAAAGTTGCATTTAGAAGGAAAACCAGACTACTTACAAGGACATCAGCTTAAGCTCCTGCTTAAATTTTTTTGGCAATCCTGAACACTCTTGCAATCATTTTGGAACTGGATAAAGTTAAGAAAGGACTACGCCGCTACCTGACTTCTTCACACCGTTGGTTCTCTTCTGAAAATTTAGAGAAACCAGGAGGGGAAAAGCCCTCCAGTTTAACAGTAAATACTTTTTTTTTCCCCAAAAAAAAAATCACAACAAGCCAGGATAAGCCTATTAAACTAGGGCAGACTAAAATTGCACTGCATGCAGGAGGAATAGTGGACTGGATTTAGCTGGAACTATTTACCAAGTTTAAAGTCTGGACACGGTTTGCTGCAGTTTAAAGTATCCACAACTAGAATGTGAACTCGGAAGAAGAAGCCATCAGGAGTAATATACAAGCGACTCATCTTGTACAATCCATCGCCGTTTACCAAAAGCGTAATCAAGTGGACTCCGTTCCCCAGTCTTTCCACGTTATAAACAATTCCATTCACCGCTGTTTTAAGGGAGGGAAAAAGCAAACATCAGATTACATATCTCGGTGGCAACTCAGGGTGTATGTGAAGGCTCTCATTTACAATGCTGTAAAGTGTCAGCAGAAGTTCCTTGGCTCAGTAGTGGGCACTCTTGAAAGTAGGAGTCGCTTCAAATAATCGCATTTGATGAGGTCATCACCTTAGTTTTTGCTCAGTTACTAACCTTACACTTTACAGGTCTGAGGTGTTTTTTAGTGAAGTTTATAAAATGTTTCAAAAGAAAGTGATGTTTTAGTACTGTTTTCCATCCTGATATATAAAAAGGGGACATATTTACCTAACAAAGTAAAATTTTCACATTTAAAACTTCACAGTGAAGTCCAAAGCTAACCTGCTAATAAAGCACTTCAGCTTTTGAAAGGAAAGGCCCGTGTCATACCAAGAGGCAAGGGCGCCAAGTAGGCCATGTTGTATGCTCAATCACTTCACGCTGTCCACCCAGCTTCTGGTTTTGGTAAGTGCTGAGCTGACTAGAGGAATCGGAAAACAACCGCCGTGTTAGGCAGGTAAGGCAAATAGGACTTCTATAACCGGCGTTACTCCTGCCTCACTGAGTGAGAACTTCACTTCAGTCATTTATTCTTTAATCTGCACTGTAAACGTAAAGAAATGAAAAGCGCTCTCTGATCACGGCAATGGAACCTTGGCTGACGTGTTGCTCAGACTGTCTTTTTCCTACCTCTTTTTCAATTTAAGAGATGAACGGGACCGGTATTTGTTAAAGGCTGAACTACACCAAGGTCGGGTCACTACAAGGCCTGCGTTTGACAGGAATGCATGAGAGTGGTAAAAAATAAAGAATATAGCATTTGTAGAAAGCACTTCCTGACTTCTCCATTTAGAGAAAACAGATGTCTCGTAACGTGTTTATATTCTTCAAATGGAAACATCTGTTACCACTAGGCATGTATTTTGCTTATCTCTTAAAATACTGTGAGAAAAAGTTGGTATCTATTTCACAACTTCATAAGCGCAAGGCAAGATTTCAGTCAGAAAATGCTTGCTCTAAACAATCAGTACAAAAATGCCAGGCTATTTTCTACCGTCTTTAGCTACATCAACTTGGACACAAGGACTAAAGACATTGAGTCCTAAGGAAGTTCAAAGAGAATCCTCTATACAGAGAGGATCACTTTTATTTTTGTTTGGTTCTCCATTTTATTTTCATTTGAAACTAGCCCCCCCAAATCACAAACTCGCTCTAAATAGTAAGAGGTAAGTAACACACCTACGATGTTTAATCTTGGAGTATCTAAAACAATTGGTCTTGTCAGTTCCATTGACCAGCAGTAAGAACATTGTCTTTGTCAATGTGAAAGTGAAAAGTAGAAAAAAAAACAGAAAAAAGAGCAATGCTAGCCCAAGGTAGGTAAAGGGTAACGTAAGACTTGGTACCGTTTGTCGTAGTACATTTATAAAGAGCTGTGCTGAGTCCTTTTAGTGCACTTAGTAATTATTTAACATACTCGGTGAAACAGTATCTTAAGAGCAGAGGCAAGAAGTCAGTAATAGATGAACAAAGAAGGCCCCTGCTTTGTCTGTGTGGTTCATGGAGGACACGACTTACCGAACTCACTCGCGCAGTAGGCCTCCACTTCGTCTCTCTCTTTCCTGCACTCGGTCAGACATGCACCATCTAGAACAGGCACACAGACTGAGGGACAGCAACAGGCCCTTTTGGGATATTTCATCCAAATTATGCCACCCAACCTTTGGGAAGCCCAGGATATCCCTTGCCAGAGCAGTCTGTCCCCTTACCTTTCTTCGGCGCACTGAAGTCGTATGGCAAGCTGGATGTCTGGCGGTTGGTGACCCAGGAGGGTTTGGTGACCTTTTTCAAGGGATCAGTACGTTTATAGGGGATTATCTTGCCTGGTCGGTTGAAGTGATCCAGCGTGTTAGGATCACCTGACTCCACTGCTCCAGGGTCTGGAAAAGGATGAGCCTCCGCTAAGGATGTCATCTTTTGATAGGAAGATGCTGCGTGATGGAAGAGAGCTGACATGCTGTTGGCAGCCTCAGCCAGCCGTCTGTCCGCATGCTTTCTGTTCGCGTGATTGAAGTCAAAGGAGGCAGGAGAAGGCCCCTCGGCCGGGCTCTCCAGAGGCAGGGCCCCTCCGTACCGCAAGAGGTGTTTCCTCAGCCCTGTGCTGTTTTCTAGAGAAGGCTTGGTGCGTTTCTTTTTGTCTGATGAGAGGGAGATGATTTCAGGAGGTCCTGGCCGCTGCGGGTCGGCGGGAGACAGAAGCCAGTGTTCCGTGTGATTCTCTCTGGCGCTGCTGGTGCCCCGGGCTGGCAGTTTGACTTGGCCAGGCGCAGCGTCTGCTGAGCTATAGGCCTCTTTGCTGAGAGTCTGACTGGGTTTCTCGGCATAGGGCAGGGATCCTACACACACAGAAAGGAGAGCGAGCGAATTAGCTTTTTTTTTTTTATTTTTATTCCATGCGCTTCTGAATGGGAAGTGCCTGGCAGATTTGAGGCTCTAGTCCGTAAGTAAGGCCTTCACCAATATGACAATATAACTGATAAATAGTTCAACAGATGAAATATAGTAGAGCTGCTCATTCTTCTGTAACTCAAACATGGAAGGCCCAGTACAGAGAATGCAGCTGTGTGAGCAAAACACAGGAGATTTGCATTTTTACTTTATTATTGTTGCAAATTAAAAACAGGACTTACAAACAAACCCTTTTCTCAAAAGCCTGAATCTCCAGGGAACATCTGAGGAAACGAGGTTCACGTTGCCGTTTGGGATGCTTGTTTAAAAGACCATGACAACAGAACTATTTGGTTTTCCCATCCATGGGATGCCTTATTGACAATGTCATCTGGACTCTTCAGGGGCTTTGGGCTTTGAACGCTACCGAAAAGATCTTTATCCACAGTTTTGGGTCTCTGACTTTTGCACTACAGAGTTGTATAGTAGTAGTACCGTAGT